TCGGGGAAGCAGACTGGACATTTGTCAACTCATTTTACGAGTTGGAACAAGAGGTATGTAACTAGATTCTTAATTACACGGATAGTCTGAACATCTGGTTAACAGTTACAATGGCAGGTAATCGACTCTATGGCAAAGTTTTCGCATGTAAAGACAATTGGACCAACCATACCATCAATGTTTATAGATAAGCAACTACAAGATGACAAAGAATATGGTCTCAGTATCTTCAAGCCTAACACTGATGCTTGCAAGAAATGGCTCGAACAACAAGCACCTTGTTCGGTCATTTACGTATCGTTTGGAAGCTTGTCCGAGGTAGGACCTGAGCAAATGGAGGAATTGGCAAAGGGCTTAAAAGCTAGCAACAAGTATTTCCTGTGGGTTGTTAGAGCATCAGAAGAATCGAAACTTCCCAAAAATTATGCAGAAGAATTGTCAGAAAAGGGACTAATAGTTTCATGGTGTCCTCAATTAGAGGTTTTGGCACACGAAGCATTAGGTTGTTTCATCACACATTGTGGGTGGAATTCGACTCTGGAGGCCTTGAGTTTGGGAGTTCCTATGGTTGCAATGCCATGTTGGACTGATCAAAGCACAAATGCTAAATTTGTGAGTGACGTATGGAAAACTGGGATCAGGACTCTGCCTGATGAGAAAGGAATCGTTCGAGATACAGAGATTGTTCGTTGCTTGGAACTTGTGATGGACAGGGAGGAAGGGAAAGAAATTCAAACAAATGCAATCAAATGGAAGAAAATGGCACGAGAAGCAGTTGATAAAGGGGGAAGCTCGGATACAAACATCGACGAATTTGTTTCTGCATTGATGAATCCTCCCATCTGATTAATTTGATTGACATTAATTACAGAATTGTATTTCACTGTGTTCAGTCGATCTATTAATGTACAACCTCCCCATCAAGAATAAATAAAATTGTCCTATCTTATCTAATATAAATCAAGCTTTTAGACTGATGAGAAGGTTCAACATGATACCAAAACAAGCAAATATCATGTACTAAAATCTTGTCTCCATCAATTTATGAAAACAGGTGCACGTTTTAGGCCTTTGAACATAAAGAGGCATTGCAGATGAGATTGTGTGATTTAAAGCATAAGAGTCAATATAAAAATTAAGAGACGATATACTGCTGAATAATCCTTCGTTGCACAAACTCACAAAGTACGTCCGCCAAAAACATCATTTTATTAATGTAATGTCAAGATGAACAAATAGGAATATGAAGCACAAAACGCCAGCTTTTGCGCATTGATTAATTCAAACAAAACAAGAATTTGAATCCATACAAGAAGAAAAGAAAACTGCATATAGTTCTTGTCCTACATGTTTGTAAAATAGCACAATGGACGCCACATGACCATTGCAAGGCACACCATCCTGCCGGGCAGGGGTTGTCATGATCCATCCATAAAGAGAAGTGCCATCACCTTGATATGTCCAGCCGCAATTGTATTTCCTTCAGTCGCCATTTTGATTCGTTTATGAAAAAGAATTGCAGCCATTGTTGACAGCCATAATTTAGTCATTTACTTAATGAAGAAGTCTCTTTAACATGCAAGAAAAAAAAACTCAACCACCCAAGAAGGAAGGCAGCCACCGAAGATGACCTTTGACTTCATCAAATTAACACCCTCTGCACCACACTTACTTCCAATACCTCCATCTACTGGTCCATTGCCTGCTCAACAAGTTGTTTCCACTTCACTCTCTCCTAAAGCTGCTTCTGTACACACTCAATCGCAGGTAAGTAGTTCCTCTTCTCCCTCTAACACTCATACAGATCCTAACATTCCAGAATCATATTCCTCATGCCATGACATCAACCAAACTGCCCAGCAATTTGAAACTGTTCATTCCCCTTCACATCAACCAAACATACCATCTCGCATGGTCACTCGTGCTCAAAATAATGTCTACAAACCAAAACAACCATTCAACCTACATACCACTACCTCTTCGATTCTTTCCCAAATAGAACCATCATCATTTACCCAAACAAACAACCACTCTAATTGGCGTGATGCCATGAAAGATGAATTTCTTGCTTTTCAGAACAAGAAGACTCGGTCCCTTGTTCCACCCTCATCTACACAAAACGTTGTCGGGTGTAAATGGGTCTATCAAATCAAAAGGAACCTAAATGGCTCTGTTGCTCGTTATAAAGCTCGTCTTGTGGCAAAAGGGTTTCATCAACGACTCAAAATTGACTTTACAGAAACTTTTAGCCTAGTGATTAAACCAGCCACAATTCACATTCTTCTAACTATTGCCATAACTCGTGGTTGGGTTTTGAATCAATTGGATGTTAATAATGCATTCCTACAAGGCACTCTATCTGAATGTGTTTACATGCAACAACCTCAAGGATTTGTTGACCCTCAATATCCTTCTCATGTTTGCAAATTACATAAAGCAATCACTCCTCGGGCATGGTACAATGAACTTCACTCCTTTCTTCTTGCATATGGATTTATCAATTCAAAGAGTGATACCTCTCTCTTTATCTACAATTCGGGAACTATCATTATGTGCTTGCTTGCGTATGTGGACGACATTATACTTACCAGTAATCATCCTCCAACTCTTCAATATTTCACTAGTGAGCTATCTAACAGGTTCTCTCTCAAAGATCTCGACAAACTTAGCTACTTCTTAGGTGTTGAAACAGCTCGGACCTCCAATGGTTTGTTCCTATCTCAAAGAAAGTATATTCTAGAGCTTTTTCAACGAACTAATATGCAAAAGGCCAAGGAAGTTAGTATCCAACGGTCCATTTTAGAAACGCTCAAACTTGATGATGGTTCCCATGACATGATCCAACTGATTATCGTCAGGTGCTTGGCTCACTTCAGTATCTTTCTCTTACACGGCCTGATGTTAGCTATGTCGTTAACAAGTTGGCTCAATTCATGTACAAACCAACCTCCAATCGTTGGCTTTGCTATTAAATGAGTTCTTCGCTATCTCAAAAGAACCCCTCATTATGGTGTCTTCATTTCAGCTCAATCCCCTCGCACTTCATGCCTTTGCCGATGCCAACTCGAGTGGTGATGTTGATACACATCACACTACATCTACTTATGTTGTATTTCTTGGCTCCAATCCTATTAGTTGGAGCTCTAAGAAACAATCTACTATAGCCCGCTCTTCAATCGAGGCCGAATATTGTGCTATTGCTGCTGCTACTGTTGAGGTGAATTGGCTCACTAACTTGCTACGAGAACTAGTTGTATCAATCCCAGCTCCTCCAACAATTTACCATGACAATGTTGGTGCCACTTACTTATGCTCCAACCCTATTTTTCACTCGTGTATGAAACACATTGTCATTGACTTTCATTTTGTGCATGATCAAGTTTCTCACAAGTTACTTCACATTTCACATGTCCGTAATACAGATCAACTTGCTGACTCTCTCACTAAACCTTTAGCTTGGAAGCAGTTCCAAACTTATTGGTCCAAGCTTAGTGTCCTTCTGGGACCCTTACACTTGCGGGGGTATGATAGAGCACAAAATTATCAGAGTATTTTATTCTTTGCACAAAATTATCAGAGTATTTTATTGTTTCTTTAATTGTAATCCTATTATAATTCTCTCCTTATTTAGTTGATTTTATTTCCTACTGTATAGACTAGACTAATGGACTGACTCTACTAGATTAGTGGAACTGATTTCCCTTGCCAGTATTTTATTCTTTCTTTAATTGTAATCCTATTATATAGACTTGTAATCATCCCTATCAACACATATTGGAATATTCAATCTCTTTAGATAATATTAAATATTAATGTTTCTATAGGTTTGATCATTACTGTTCAGCACTTTGGCATTAACACGATGGATGAAAGCAAAAATCGTTTGCCAAAACTGTTATATTTGTTGGGAATATTACAACAATAAACGTGCAAATTCACAAAACGTAACTTATACATTCACAAATTCAAATCAAAGTTTCGACTTACCGACTCTGGATTTGAGAAGATAAATAATAATTACCGAATCTGATTTTGAACACATGAATATGGATTCATCCATTTCCATTCTTGAATTTCAACCTTACATGAAATCAAAGAGTAATAGTTAATTTCTGAAATCAAATATGATGAAAGAAATCTGAAATAAGGAAAATTATATGTAAGTGATGCGATTGGCCGAGGCAAGTGTTTGATACTCTTTCCTTAAGATGAATTTGCCCTGCATCGGTGTTAACGGTTTTCGACGACCATCTTTCAAGATACAACAACCACGTTAAGTCATAGGAGCACTCCAAATGACTTCAACTAACGAACTCGAACGGAATTCCCTCCCTATCATAACTATGATTTGAATGTAAGATATAATCACTTCTACAAAGTATTTGATGCAACATGACATAAAATGAATAATATGAAATTTCAAATGAACGTCCAAAGGGGGAAGGGACACAGGGTGAAGGAATATATAAAAGTTGAAAGGATGTGGGTGAAGGGACACCCCAAATTCAGCATTTTCATAAAAAGTTGCAACACTTTATTTCGAATCTGTACCATTTCGAAAAGTTGCAACACTTCGTTCTTTTAATTTTGGATTGCAATTTCTCATTCATCGGAATTGATTTCGGGATTCCAAATATACCATGACGATCTGCTTGACGAGTAGAATAAGTTGATCTATTTACTTTTATAATTTGACCATCAAATCAAGTCTGAATATTCGACCAAAATTGGCGTGAAGTCATTTTTTTCATTTTGGTTTTAATACTTAACCGACTTTTCAATTACTTTTGAACCAATTCCAACGACTTTTCCACTTCCTGATTTTGGGTCTTTGTTGCTTAACACACTCTGAATCATCATCACATTTCCAGTTCCTGATTTTGGGTCTTTGCTCACTGTATTTCATTTGAATTCTGTGTAAGTTTTTTCTTCTCTCTGTAACACCGGCACGCACAATGCAGAAAAGGGCTGTATTTCTTCGTTAGGATTTGGTGAAGGAAGTAATGGAAGCGATTTTTTATAAGAAGCCAGATTGATGTCTATGTTCTATATAAAAATTCGTAGAGAAGGAGCAAAATTAAGAACAGGTGGTTTAAAAGATTCTCTTTTGCCTACCTGTGTTTGTTAAAAGTTTTGTGGGGGGGTTTTTGTTAAAAATAGGAAGTGGAGTCGAGTTGATTTTATGTTTTACTTAGGTGAAATGGTTGAAGGCAATTAAAATTTGATATCTGCTCGAAAGTTGTTAAAAGCAAGTGTCGAGAAATCAAAGGCTTTGGGATTGTCTTTAGAGAAAGCTGGCCTAGATTAGATGAGATTAATCATAGATTAGTATCTTTGGAAGTTGCAATTTTCCCTATTCGGGCCCTCGGTGCTTTTGGGGGTCACATAGATCGAGCTGGTGTCCCCGCGGCTGCAGTTCTTAAGGTTTTTGATGTCATTCATGGGCTTGAGAATCATTATCTGATCCTCAGTCTGATCTTCCATGGTATCTCGGCATGCTTAAACGGCTTGAGGAGGTGCTGAGGTTCTTGGGGGAGAATTGTTGGATGGCGATTCAATGGTTGGCTGATATTATGGAGTATTTTAAGCACCGTAATGTGGCAGATGGCAGGTTTATTTCAGGTTTGAAAATGGCAGTGAAGCATCTTCAGGAATTGGAGGTGGCTGAGGAAAAGGGTCGCGTAGATGGAGGTCTTCTTGAGATTTCTTTGGAGAGGTTGAGGAATGAGTTTCGCTGGCTTTTGACTGAAAACAGTGCTCCATTGCAAATGTCCTTGCCAACATTGGGCGAGCAAGCCTCCATTGCTTCATCACCTTTATTAGTGGCTGTGATACAGAAGCTACAGGCTATACTCAGGAGATCAATTGCAAACTGTAAGAAAAAAATGGTGCAGGGAGTCAGGCGCCATGGCGCCCAAATTGAAAGTAAGATGCAGTGAGGCGGGCACCATGGCGCCCATGTTTCTACACGAAACTT